AAAGTATCTTGCAGATATTCTTTTCTTTTGATATTAAAAACTAGAAAATGTCCTAAAGCATTCGTTACAGAATATATCAATAGAAAATAATTGTCTTACACATTATTCAAGTATGGAAACAAGTTTACAACTTTAATCGAATATCTAATTTTATTTTTGTAAAAAGTTACTTTCATAAAATCTTTTTTTTTCAGTAATTTACTGTCGTAAAGGATCTTGCTGGATTTTGTGATGGATCTTGAATCAGGATACTATATGTATGGTTTTGTAAAGTAATTTGCGGTACATCGAATGGCATATAAGTATTCAAGTGTTCCTAAAACTTTTGATTTGCTGAGGATTCGATACTGGTTATAATCCTTCGAGAAAATATATGGTATTCATAGACATTGTGATCCCTAAGATAAACTTATACAAATTTAGTTTTGAAATTCAATTCGATGTAGTTATAGGTGCTCTTCAATTCTCTATAACCAATATTTTTCATTGTTGTTTTCTTCATACTTAAAAATGGCTTCTTTCCTTAAGTCTAGGACGATATGATATTCTACTGTGTTCAATTTTGTGTTATAGAACAAGTTAGGATCAACGAGAAATTTTTTCTAAAAAATTGCACATTGTTGAGCTCTATATGTTGCATGCAGAGGCTGATATACTGACGATATTTTAAGAATACTCAATGGTCTTATTAAAAATTTTTATGCACCAATAATCAACAAAGTGTTCTTAATGAACTGATGTAAGGAACTCCTTTATAAGCGAAAGAAATCTTTTTTGAGCCTCGAGACTCCTGGATGAGGGTACGGAAGTATAGAGAAATTTATTTTTAAAATGAATATGAGATATTTATAGATTCTTGCAGATTTTTATGTGAAAATCAAATCTAGATAATCGGAAAAAAATTGACCTCTTTCTTGCAATCCTACACCCGTACCTCTTTCTGGGCTCTGTAGGCTAAAAAATTCATTTCCGCTTATAAAGGAGTTATTCATACCAGTTCATCAAGAACATTGTGCTGATTATTAATACATAAAAAATTTTTAATAAAACAATTGAACATTGTTAACATATCGTCAATAACCGGTCGCTAAGTATAGGAAAATAGGCTATTCTAGGTAACAATCTTGCAAGTTCACAACAAGTCTCTGCTATTTTGAAAGATGTTATCTATGAGACATATAGAGCTCGATAGTGTGCAATTGTTTAGAAAGTTTCACTTGTTCTGTGACACAGAGTTGAACACATTGGAATATTATACAGTCAAGAAACGATCTAGACTTAAGGAAAGAGATCATTTTTAGATATGAAGAAAGCAATGATAAAAATTCTTGGTTATAGAAAATTGAAGAGTACCTTTAACTACATGAAAATGTGTTTAAAAACAACATTTACGTAAGTTTATTTTACGGACCATCATTTCTATGAGTACCATCTATATATTTCTCAAGGATTATAACCAGTATATGGACTCTCAGTACATCAAAATTTGATGCGTCGCAAATTGCTCTACAAAACAACATATATGGTATCCTGATTCCAGATGCTTTACCAAATCTGGCAAGGTTCTTTATGTTAATTATTGTTTCATCTTTATCAAAGACCATACAAAATCATAAGATTTATAAACTTTTTTTAGAAATTAATTTCTATACTGTAATTTTTTTAAGATAATTATTGAATATTTATTTAGATTGATTTAAATACAAAATTAATCGAAGCTCTTCGTATATTTCAATCTGGACGTATGTCAGCATTGCCAGTTGTTGATAGTGAAAAAAGACTACGTGATATTTATTCAAAATTTGATATAATGGTATATATAATTGGTTTTTTTTTGTGTTTTTTATTAAATAATATGTACTATTTTATTTTTGTCATATTAGCATTTAGCAGCAACACGTACTTATGCTAATCTTGATGTACCATTATGTGATATACTCGATTCGATACATGATCATAGTACTCATCAATTAATAACATGTCAAATGACAGATCATTTATTTAAATTAATGGATAAATTCGTTACTCGGGAGGTAAATAGATATTATTATTATTTTTTCTCGTCGGAGAATATGAAGAAAAGGAAAATAAGAAAAAAGAATTCCGCCTACTTTCTTCTTTTATTCTTTTTCTATTAATTGGAATGACGCACTCAACTGCAAAAGGTCTTTTTTTTAAATTATCTACATATCTATATAGGTACATCGTTTGATTATAGTTGATGACGATCAACATATTATTGGTATTCTTTCCATATCCGATCTCATGAGATTTTTTGTAGCAACATTTGAAAGTAAGCTATAGGTTTTTTTTTAATATGTTCCATTGATATTCTTATCACAATTGTGTTTTTTTTTCTCTTATAGAGATCAGTCGTACTAATTCGAATACATCAAATGGCACTTCAAATGGACCTGTTTTTGAATGTGAATCTATGGATACTTGACATTTTTTTTTTATTATTCTTAATCAAAATATTAGTTTCATGTTCATATTCACTAAAACAGCAACTGTTTATCAGATGTTCATTATATTTCACTGTTGGTTAAATCTTGTTAAACTTTTTTCTTTTTGGTTCTACACTATTTTCGGGTTGTTGGTTCTCGTTTTCTTTTTTTTTTTTCTTTAAACTTATAACAGACAGATAAAACTGATAACTGTTTTTTTTT